AGGCGGCATTAGTAGTCACAGTCATTCATTTACTTCTCTGTGGTCGATGAACCAATCGGCCATCCATCAGCTTCTGCGTAGGCGTCACGTTCCCAATGACTCCGACCAAGGGCTGCTGCTAGGAAACACGACCACACATGGAATCCTGGCTAAGATAGAGGTCAAAGGTTTGTGTGTGTTGGTTTGTGATTGACTCAATCCAATGACCTAGAGGAATGTGAACCTTAGGAATGAAGAAGAACCGCTATTTCTTGGACAACAGTATTTGGGGTAAGAACAGGCTATACGAAACTCTCGGTGGGAGTTGGTAGTCCCCTGGATTCAGGCTGCAGGCTGGGACACCAGCATCTGAAATGACTCTCAGCCCAGAGGGGTACATAGTGAAGATCACACATTTTAATGTGAGCCCATCCTTAACAACTAAAAAGCTCTTCTCTGTTGCCTGTCACCAAGGAAAAAATGAGTTTGGCTAATGAAAGAGGAAGTAAGGAGGAAATGGAGAGCATGAGGAGGGAGGAGGGAGTCTGACGGTTTTGGTTTGAGTTTTTGCTTTTCTCTAGTGGTTGTGAAGGTGAACTTACCAAAGATTAGAAGTCCAAGGTCACTAGATCTTGAAGTGCTGGAGTTCTTGATTAGTGCATGAAACTCCTTTGGATTAAAAGAAGCCTTTTCCTAGAAAAAAAAAAATGCTTTATTTTCCTCTGCCAAATTTTTACTTTTTTATTTTACAATAATGTCAAACTTACGGAAAAGTTGAAAGAGTAATACAACCCAGAATCCCCAAATATTAACATTTACCACATCTGCATTGTCATTCTCTCTTTATATCCATATGTATGGGGGGTTTTTGTTGCTGTTGTTCTATTTTTAATTGAAGTATCATTGGTATACAATATTATATTAATTTCACGTGTACAATATAGTAACTTGACATTTGTATACATTACAAAATGTTCACTACCTATCACCATACAAGTTATTATGTTATTATTGATTATTTTTCCCATGCTCTACCTCTTATCTCTGGGACTTGTTTATTTTCTAACTGGAAGTTTGTAACTCTTAATTCCTTTCACCTGTTTCACCCATTCCCCACCCCCACCCCACGACCCCCACTGTCCCAGCAACTGCCTGTTTGTGGCTTGGCAACCACATCTTCCTTATCCATTCATCTATCAAACACTTAGACTGCTTCCTTAACATGTTTACTTATTTATATAAATATAGTTATTATTTTCTTAACTTTGAGAGTAAGTTGCAGACATGGTGCTACTTAATCTTTAAATACTTCAGTGTGTGTTTCCCAAAAGCAGGGCACTTTCTACATAATCATAATAAATTATAAAAATTGAGAAATGAATATTTATTGAGTTTGCAATATTATTTATCAGATCAACAAATCTTACTCAAATTCTACTAGCTGAGCAAATAATGTTCTTTCTGGCAAAAGAAAAAAAAATAGTTTTCTGACCCAGTATCACATATTGCACGAGTTATCATATCTCTTCAGTTCCCATTTATCTGGGGGCAGTCTTCACTCTTTCTTTTCCTTCATGACTTTGACATTTTTAAAGAGTATAGGCCATATATTGTGCAGAATTGGGAGATACGTCTTCATGCAGGATTAGCTTCCATTTATGCAGGAAAGTGCCGCTGTGTCCTTCCCAGTGCACAGTACCAGGAGGCCCATGATGTTGGTTTGTCCCACAACTAGTGGTGTGAATTTTTGTTACTTGATTAAGGTGATATCTGTCAGATTTCTCCACTGTGAAATTGTTATTGCTCTCTTTTTAATTAATACATTTCTCACAGGGAGATATTTTGAGATTCTATAATTATTGTTTCTTATCAGAATTTCACCTAATAATTTTAGCATCCATTGATCATTCTTGACTGATGTAATTGTTACTATTACAGTTGCCAAATGGTGATTTTTCTAATTCTATCATTTCTTTTACATTTATTAGTTGTAAATGTAATAAATTACATTTATTCTTCTATAAAATGAGGCAAATAACGTGCCCCCTTTAACTCAAAAGGTTGTTGGGAGAATCAAATGAGATCTATATTTAAAAGTGCAGTGTAGAATACTTCACAAATGCAAACCATTCTTTCACTATTCCTCCCCTTCTACTTGCCCAGCAAAACATGATGACATAGAAAGTTTCCACTCTCTGATCTAGGACACATTAACCCCCATGAGCATTTGCCATCTTCAAATAACTCTATGAAATTTGGATTGCAATGAAAGCTACAGAATCCATTTAGAAAACAATTCAACATTTAGTTATTCAGTTATTCAATTTATTGAGGCTAGAGTTGAATAACACACTATACTAATTGAATTTATAAATACAAAATTTCCTTAAAATTTCTAAAAATGAAATTTCCCAAGAGATAGTTACACCAACACCTTACCTCAAAATTATACACTTTTTAATGTACTTATATATTTAAGAAGGGAAAATTCTACTAGTTGGGCGTTAATTTTCCATAAATAAGTAACTCCTACACAGGAAAGATTTGGGAAACTAACTCAAATTATTAAGGCATGATCATCTAAAAACTTGACGGCTTTAGAAATAGACACAGCCATATCAAAAGAATTGGCCAGTTTGCTTAAACCCACTATATTTTAATTTTCACCTCTGACTTAGTTTTATCAAAGGACAGTCTCTTACCTCTTCTCTCTTTAGCTAAAGAATTTTTGCCGGGAAGAAAGATGAAAGCAGAGACCAAAATTTCCTTGAGAAGTGAAGATGATATATTATATCAAGTGATTTTTTTTTTTATCTGAAGCAATCTGTTCCTTATAAAGCAGTAGAAACAAAGTTGCATGAATGGGAGTACATGAGTGTATGTGTATAATTCTATCTGTGTGTATGTTTCTATTCCTTATTAGAGAAAGAAATATTTATATATACAGGAAAAAAACTGGAAGAAAATATGTACCAAAAATATTAAGAGTCAAATGTGATAATCATTACTCCATTCTTTTTTTTTCTGTATCTGCCATTTTTTTTTACCATGAGCATAAGTTACTTTTACAAACAGAAAAAAGATGAACAATTTTTTTAAATGGTTCAAATGAAAAACCAGGAAATAGCTGTAAAAAAGAAAAAAAAAGAAAAACGAAAGCCCACTTTTATAAAATTGCTTGGCCTTGCAAGCATTTTGAACATAAGGTCCATGAACAGTCATGATTCCCAAAGCATCTGTGAGGTCTAAACTTCAGCTCCAGGCTTATCCATTGTCCTCTATGAAGCACTCAAAGCCCTTCTTGATTTTAAGGGTGGATCCAGATCAAGGGCAGAGATATGTGTGAACACAGGGCAAAGCAAGGAATCTTCCTGCATTGAAAGGGAAGGAAATAAGGTCTCTCCCGCAGGTGATGTTCTCTGTGACTCCTCTTGCTTCCAAAGGCAGAGAGAGCCAATGCAGACCCAGTGCTGCTCCTATGTGGTGTGGGACCTAATGATCTCCTTCCTTTGGTTTGCCTATGACTGAGCTAGGAAGTCTGAGCTGCCATGATGCTCAGACATGAGGCAAACAGGCAAATGCTACCCCCCACACTCAGCCCCCATCTTTGCCTGGTTCTTGTTCCCTTCCTACTACGGGATAGCTTGCTCTTCCCGAGCAATCAGTACACACAATAAAAGTGATAGTATAGGCTGTCATTGTAAATGACAAACATTGCAATATATATGGGATTTTATATCCCAAATAGTTTGAAGTCTCACTCCATGATACTTTTGATATTATGCTTTCAAATTAGTATCACACTTGTTTTCAATAATACAATTGCTTGATTTATTCACAAATGTTACTTTGCAGCCAAACATTGTATAATAATTAGTACAACTTTTAAGATGGCATATGCATTTAAATGGTCAAGACTATAAAATTAATAGGGGTACCTGGGTGGCTCAGTTGGTTAGCATCTGGCTCAGGTCTTGATCTCAAGGTCATGAAATCAAGTCCTACTTTACAAGAAAAAAATTACAAAATTAACATAGTATTCTTTCTTTAACATTTCCAAAACAACTGTGATATTTCTAAATTGGTACAGTCAGCCTACATGAAATAGTAATTTTTTTTTATTTAGGAAAAGATAAAAAGGTAATACATGCTGAGGGAAAATGCAAGTGGTAGTTTTCTGAAACCCTCCACCTGTTTAATTTTTTGCTCCTAGGCCACCTCTAGCCTGGACTAGAAAAGAAAAATTAGTTTTCTAGGTCATCCTGCTGCACTTATGGTCAAAGCCTCATGATTTTCCAGAAAAAATTTGCATTCCTTTATCCTATGTCATGTGATTCTTTTTCTCACAGAAACTAGTATGCAAAGAGAACAGAATCTGAGGTTTCTTGATTCTGTTTGGGATGCTGTGCCTTTGGCCATCATCCCTCAGTCTCTTCCCATTCATCTCACCCTCTGTCCAGGCGCTCCCTGGTGGCCATGCACTTGCATAATCTCTGCATGGAGTTGGGATGATCTCAGAGTTGGGTTGAAGAATGACAATAACCCACTGAAAATAAGAACATGGAAACCAACTTGGAAATATTTTTATAGTGGCAACTACTTTGCCTGACAGTATAAAAATAATTAAGAATCTAATCAATCAATTGAAATTGAACATTTTCTAATAGATTCGCCTATTCCACTCTTGAATTTCACGAGGTAGCAAGCGATAAGATTTTCCCGTGACAGTCTCTGTTTCAGATGGATGAATTCATACATTCATTCACATCAACACAAGAGCTGCGTCAGCTTTGCCATGGAACCTCTCTCCTGTTCACTTTTTCTGGCTGTTTTGGTTAGTTTTTGCATTACTTTAGAGGAATGGTTGAGCACTTAAAAGGCCATCTTCCTAGCCAAATAATAGTTATTCTTCTTTTTTAACTATTCACTCAAGTGCATTAAAATATCTGAAGTCGTCAGTGTTGGGTTATAGCACCTTGATGGTTCTAATTTGAGTTTTCTTTCTAATTTTGAACTCTCAGGTCACTGGCTTCTTTTATTGTTCAAGAAAGGAGAGTCCCTATCCTATACAGAGGGGGAAAAAATGTTCTTCTGGGTGTTAGCCCTCCTAATCCTTTGTGGTTTTCTATGGAATTATAAAAGACAACTAAAGATTTCAGACATCACAGATAAGTATATTTTCATAACTGGTTGTGACACTGGCTTTGGAAATTTGGCAGCCAGAACTTTTGATAAAAAAGGATTTCGTGTAATTGCTGCCTGTCTGACTGAATCACAGTCAACAGCTTTAAAGGCAGAAACCTCAGAAAGGCTTCACACTGTGCTTCTGGATGTAACCAACCCTGAGAATGTCAAGAGGACTGCCCAGTGGGTGAAAAATCAAGTTGGGGAAAAAGGTGAGTGATGTCGGGTGGGAAGAATGGAGGGGGTGTTGTAAATTAGCTACAGCTAAATAAAATGTGTTTGGATCTTAAATGACCTTTCAAGAAAATGTCTCCTAAATACCAGCTATGGTACTGGAGAATCTTGGAAAAATCTTAGGATAAAGCCCTCAGTAGTTTTGAGCTGCAAGCTCACTGTTTGCATGAGAGAAACAGCCCACATTATCCTCAGTCTTAAGTCCCAGTGGGTGAATTTAGAAGTGAGTTTGAGGTATTGACTTTCCCTGCACTTCTCTCATAAAATTCTAGTTTAGCTACATAAAATTCTACATTTAGCTACATTAGCTACATTTTAGCTACGTTCACAGTGAAGGAACTTGGGGCTAAAAGCTACAGAAGATCATGCAAGCAATCAATGTATGTGAATTTTCTCTATCATATCTGCATCATTTAGTTGAGACTCCAGACCACAAAAGCAATGGCTTAATAATGCTCTTGACAATTTTTAATGCTTGAATTCCAAATAACTTTAACAATATTAAATGTTTTCCATCATAAAACAATTGATGACTGGATTTTTTAATTTTTTTACTAAAAATAGATATGAAGTAGATTGTATTGCTCTTTGTAAAAAGTAGTTTATAAATAATCTCTGGCTTTGCAATCTAGCAAATGGATAAAATAGACCAATTTACTCTGCATCTACGATAAAAAAAAAACAATAGCGAAATAAGACAATCAGAGAAAGACAATTATCATATGATCTCCCTGATATGAGGAATTTGAGAGGCAATGTGGGGGGTTTGGGGAATAGGAAAGGAATAAATGAAACAAGATGGGATCGGGCGGGGGACAAACCATAAGAGACTCTTAATTTCACAAAACAAACTGAGGGTTGCTGAGGGGAGGGGGATAGGGTGGCTGGGTTATGGACATTGGGGAGGTTATGTGTTATGGTGAGTGCTGTGAAGTGTGTAAACCTGGCAATTCACAGACCTGTATCCCTGGGACTAATAATGTATTATATGTTAATAAAAAAATAAAAAAATATTTTTAAAAAAGACAAAAAAGCAAAAGGCTCATTCAGACAATGTCAGTATTTTACATGCAGAACCAGAAATAGAGTTACTCTGAGACTAGCTTCCAGTAACAGAGCTCCAACTGTTTTAATTTCTCCTCCCTACCCTCTCAGAGAGTAGTTCCTTCCCAAAACTGTAAAGCATTTCAGAGCAGGAATGTATCTACAAGGAGGAAATGGCAGAGTTGTGTAAAGCAGGGACTGTAGATCAAGGATGCCCATGTAAGTGCCATCTTCCATCACACCTGCTTCCTTTCCACTCTGATCTAGGTCTCTGGGGTCTGATCAACAATGCCGGCGTTCTCGGCGTGCTGGCTCCCACCGACTGGCTAACAGTGGAGGACTACAGAGAACCTATTGAAGTGAACTTGTTTGGCCTCATCAATGTGACTCTAAATTTGCTTCCCTTGGTCAAAAAAGCTCAAGGAAGGATTATCAATATCTCCAGCATTGGAGGTCGGCTGGCGTTCAGTGGAGGGGGTTATAATCCATCCAAATATGCAGTAGAAGGCTTCAATGACAGCTTAAGGTAAAGCAAACATTGACATATTAGGAAATAATAGCTGTTAATGTTTACTGAATGTTAATTATGTACTAGACACTCTAGTTAGTGCTTTAAGTTACTCCCAATTTGTAGGCAATACCACTGAAACAAAGAAATTAAGCAACTTGCCCAAGGTCACCCAGCTGGTAAGTGGTAGAATTGAGATTTGAACTTAAGTCTATCCAAGTCTTTTTTACTTTTTTGCATTAATGTATGATGCTGACAGTGATGGTAAATTTATATTCTACAGGTCGGTGTGTTATATAGTCAGGGAATCATATAGAAAACCTAAGGCAGGGTAGAACTCTCCATTGGTATAACTGTCAGTTGCAGAAACAATAGTACCATCTTATTTAAACACTCAGTAGAAAATTATCTGATAAGGTAAATGTAGTTATCACAAAATAATAACTCAGCTATGCAGCTTTTGTCTCCCTCTTGTTGCAAGTTCTGGATTCAAATTTCCATACATTTCAGACACTACAGCTAAATGGATGATAACTTTCCCATCCCCACCCCACCCCCCAAAGACAAGAAAGACAGTTTTCCTCTGATGCGTCCATTTCCAAAAAAGGGGGAATTTACTAATCAGAGGTGAAGATTTTGCTCCCACAAGAAAGCACTGACCACATCTTTTTTCTGTGTGTTATCAGAGAACCCCAGAGCTCAAAACAGAGAATCATTTTAGCAAATAAAGACTCCAAATCAGTGCCCTCAGGCATGGATTTCTCTGGATTTGTAACATTTGATATTCACTGGGTTTCCTGAATCTGTAGGTTTATATCTTTGGTCAAATTTGATGAGTTTTCAGCTATTGCCTCTTCAAACATTCTTTTCTGCAATCCAGTCTTTCTCTTCTCCTTCTGAGACTCTATAACACAAATGTTAGACCTTTGACTTTGTCCCATAAATCCTTAAGGTTCTGTTCACTTTCTCATTTTTCTCTCTCTGCTGTACAGATTGGATAATTCCTAATGGTCTACCTTCAAATTCACTGACTTTCCTCCATCATCACTGTGCTATTGAGTCCAACCAAAAAATATTTAATTTTGGTTATTGTGTTTTTCAAGTATAAAATTTTCATTTGGTTCTTCTTTGTCTTTTCTTTCCTTTGCGAAGCATTCTAAGATTCCATTCACTTCAAGAGTATTTTCCTTTGTATTTGGAACATTTTTATAATAGCTGCGTTAAAGACTTTGGTAATTCCAACATCTGTGTCCTTCGGCACTAGCATCTGCCATTGTCTTTTCCCATGTGAGTTGAGATTTTCCAGTTCTTTTTATGCTGAACATTTGGAATGATATGAGACTATGGGTCTTATTTAAGTCCTATGGAAAATGTTGATATTTTTGTTTCATTTTATTATTTGAGAGAGAGAGAGAGCACGCATGAGTGGGATGGGAGGGACAGAGGGAGGGACGGTGCCCGCCTGAGCTGAAGGCAGCTGCCTAAATGACTGAGCCACCGAGTTGCCCCAGTATTTTTGTTTTAGCAGACAGTTGATGAGGTTGCATTCAGGTCACAATTGCTAACCATCATTCTGTTCTTTGAGATTTCAATGTTTGCTTGATTTTTAAAGACTTTGCTGTGGTATTCAGATCTGTTCTGCAGATGTACTACACAGTAGCCATCTGGGATATGGAAGATGCTTGTCCCAGAGTTCGCTTCTCTAAGTCAGACCCACACATGCACGTGTGCAGTGCATAAGCAATGTTAGAGGCTCACTTTCCTGAGATCCCCTCTCTGTCACCTTTCCAGTTCTCTCTTGTTTCCTGGGACTGCCCTCCTGCTGGAAGTTACTCCATTCTGCCATCTACTTCACACATGTATGCTGGGCATGGGGCCACATGAAGGGAGGAAAGAGAGAGAGACAAAAAGCACCAGGGTTTCTTCCCACCCTCTTGGAGACTAATAACCACTTTTAAAAAGGAATTTCAACTGAAGGACTTGTGTGTTTGCAATGCACTATACCATGCCTGAAGTTACACAGTAAAGAATGGTTTGATTTTGTTGTTGTTGTTGTTGTTGTTGTTGTTGTTTTCTAAATCATGGAGCTGGTACTGGGAATGGTATTGTGCATGCAGATCCCAGTCCAGTGGCGGCCCTAGAATTTCTATATATAGGAGGATTTAGGGACAATGGTCCAACTGGGAGAAGGCTGGGGCTTTTCAAAGCTGTATTTGCCCAACACAGCACACATAACTGGGTTCATACTGGTTTGACTTACCTGGTAAACTTAGTTGGGTGACTTAAAGCCATTTGTCCCTAGATTTTATGTTATCTCATTAGTAGATGGGGTGACAAATCTTTCCAAATACTTTCCAAAAGCCAAAGGAGCACAGAAGATAGGTGAGTAAAGTAAATTAAGTTAGAAAATAACTTTTAATAATTTTAATGCAAGCAACATACTTTTCAAAATCTTTCAAGATCAAGTTAATTTGCATTTTTAGTAAACTAGACTGCAAACTAAACAAGAGGCATGTTGCTGAAAGCAGAACCTAAGATAATTCACATTTTAAGTTCATTGGTACAGTTCTTTAAAAATCATGTGGTAAAGACTTGTATAAAATGAGTAATTACTTCATCATAGATCCTTGGTGGAAATATACATTAAATTTAGGAAATAATTGTTCATATAACAGTTTGCAATTCTTTGTTTTGCTTTTAAAAGGGGGAAGTGCATCATGATTCCCCTAAAACCTTGTTGCCCAGTAAATCAGTAGACCTTTGGTTTTCTGAGGCCACATAATGAAAGATCTCACTGAGCAGGATAGAGAGCAGGTGAGCCACATCAGAGGTTGTCACACTTGTGTCCCCAGCCTGTCCTCATTTGTGTTACAATGTCCTCACATTTCTAAAATGGAAGTAGACTTGTCCATCCAGGCCAGTCATCACTCCATTTCCCCATAAGGTATTTTGCATACCGAGAAGAAACCTGGCCTTAACCCAACTGCTTGTCAATTTAATGAGAGAGTATGATTAGTTGGGAGCACTAGTCCAGGAGGGGGTCTGCCCAGATCCCTTTCCCATTCTGACATTAAACCAGCCTTCACCACGCAAACTTCAGCTTCCTCACTGCAAACTGAGAGTGTAGAACTAAATACTCCTTTCCAACCCATGCAATTTTGTGATCCCATGAAAAAATTCGTTCGAAAATAATCACCCAAATAGCAAACATTCTCCAAACAAACCTGGATTAAACATCATCAATGTGTTCTTTCACAGACGGGACATGAAAGCTTTTGGTGTACACGTTTCATGTATTGAACCAGGATTATTCAAAACAGGATTATCAGATCCAATAAAAGCCACTGAAAAAAAACTTGCCATTTGGAAGCATCTGTCTCCAGATATCAAACAACAGTATGGAGAAGGTTACATTCAAAAAAGTAAGTCTCTGGGTGGGCCTAGGGTTCTTCTGGAGTTCATTGTCCTAAGCAACATAAAGGAGACTCAAATACAAATGAAAAGACAAGGTTTTGTTAATGATATACCAATAGGGAGATAACATATGGATTAAAGATCCCTATTAATTCCAGTGCCATCTCTTACTTCAAGTGTTTACAAACATTTACTGAGCATTTACCCACTGCCAAATCCTACCTTATGAATTCTATCATTTACTCCTCAAAAGAACCATAGGAATAGTGAACAGAGGATTGGAAAGGTGAATGTTCTCTACACAGCTGTACAACTCCTCCCGGTCATGCCTAGACTGGAGCCCACAGTCTTCACTTCTATACAAGCCTCCTCTTTTTGGTAAACACCAACCACTCACTAAACATTGGTCAAGGATTTATGGAGCTTACAAAATACCAAGACTCAGACTCTGACCCTTAACCAGCTTAATTTAGTGGAGGAGAAAAAGTAACCAGTGAGATTGTAAAACAATGAGACTGTGCAGAATGCAAGAAAATTGATCCTGTAATTCTTAGACAGACCCCAAAAGCCTGGAAGGGGTGCTAGACAGTACAGTCTCTAATTGCCTAAAGGAATTCAGAACTGGATGAAAGCATTGCTGGCCAGTGGCCTTTATGAGACAGGTCAGATTTGAGTAAGGCCTAAAGGCCAGGAAGGAATTATCTGGGTGGAAGCCTTCCAGAGCAGGAATGCACAGGGGGCAGAGATGGAAGGCGAAGCAGCATAAGTCAGATTGAGTCAGGGATGGAAATAATAGATTAGTGTATGATGACTAACATATATAGTGAACATTTGGTACTTGCCACCATTCTAAGTGGTTTACATGGACTGCCTCATTTTAAATGCCTAAATAAACCCTGTGAAGTAGATATTCCCTGAATTGTCTAGAAACAGAGGCACAGAGAAGCTGCTTGCCCAGGACCACACAGTAAGTGGAATGGCTGGCTTTGAACCCAGTCAGCCTGACTTTGCCATTTAGTCTTGAGCCGTGTGCGATCATGGGAACGGGGCATTAAGGAGCTGGTGGAACTTCCTGTACCAGGTCTCCACCTCCACCTCAAACTCCCTGGTCATGTTTAAAGCTTAGTCGACATTCCTCAAACACTTACTGGGCTCCTGCTTTAAGTCACACAGGGCCCCACCTAACTTTGTGTCACTGTAACCTCAAAACTCTGGTCCTACTTCTTCACCTGGTGGGTTTGGCGAGAGAGCCAAGTGTGGCAAGGTTCAAGGCCAGAAGTTTTCAAGAGGGAGCCAAGAGCCAAGTCAGATTCACCTTTAGAATGACGGGCTCCCCCAGCCACCTGACCCGACTGCACACGTATACGCACGCACACACACACATACACGCACGCACACACACACGTACGGAGAATGTCTGGTTTCACAAACCTCCAAGTGCTATCATGTCACTAGATGCTGAGAACCTCTGCTGTTAAATACTTGTGTTTCTCACTCATTATCAACTCTGAAAATTCTAAGTAGGTTCAGAAATAAGGGCACCTGGGTGGTTCAGTTGGTTAAGCATCTGCCTTTGGCTCAAGTGATGATCCCAGGGTCCTGGGATAGAGCCCTAGCAAGGAGCCTGGTTCTCCCTCTCCTCCCTAATCATGCTGACTCCATCTCTCAAATGAATAAATAAAATCTTTTTTAAAAATACCTCATTTAAAAGAGCTTTCTCTATTTGATATTAATACTGATACTTTCTAAATGCCTATGAATAGGTCATCAACTTCCATCTCAAAATTATTTTTGACTTGGCCCCTGGCTCAGGTGTTCCCTCTCAGAAATACCAAAAGGCTTTGAGCACAGTTTTGCACTGGTTGTTTTTATTAGTTTTTCAAACTAGTACTTGAACATCAGCCAGACTCATAATTCCCAAGCAGACCACGAATTTAAGCTCACCCTTCTTCACCTCCTAGACTGTAGTTGTGAAAGTTTAAAATAACCACTAAGACGTATTAGGTAATCTCAGGTTCTTTGAACAACTTGTGGCTACAGGAGCCTTAACTTGAAAAAGAGATTTAAAATCATAGATTTTTCTCTTAGGAAGACACAACTCAGGTATGTTTTAAGAACACTGCAGGAATGCTCCAAGCCATTACCAATCTTCTGATAAAATACCTGCTTCTCTAAAATGACCCTAGAATGTTACTCAAGCATTTCAGCTGCCTGATCACCAGGATATGTTTACCTTTCTGAGTCAAGACTTTTGGGGATGATTCCCTCTCTATTCACCGAATTACAGAGACACATGGTATGTGAGTGCACGTGCACACACATGCACACTTGCACAGCCCCTCCCCATTTCCTAAACATATAGTAGTCCCTTAAAACAAATTTAGGATCAAACCCATAACTTCTTGGGTGCAGGGGCCTCATGGACTTTATAAAGTATCTTTCTCTCATTGCTTTAAGGTAGTGGTTCTCAAAGTCTGCTCTCTGAACCAGCACCATCAGCATCACCTGAAAACGTGATAGAAATGCAAATTATTGGGTCCCACTTCACACCTACTGAGTCAGAAGCTGGTGGTGGGACCCAGCAACTGGGTTTTAACAAGCCCTCTAGGAGATTCTGCTGCCTACTCAAGTTTGAGAGCCAGGAGTCGAACGAAAACATTGCTGCATCCTTTTCTAAGGAATAGGTAGAAACCCACCACAGGGGCCTCAATTTATAACAGCAAATTCAAAAGAAATTTTCACACACACACATCCTCCCCTTTGCACCCCGGCCTCATACACTCCTTTCCCCCTTCTTCCAAAGAGTACATGTACTTTGTCTCTTTCTACAGGTCTAGACAAGCTGAAAGGCACAACTTCCTTTGTGAACGTGGACCTCTCCCTGGTGGTGGAGTGCATGGACCACGCGCTCACAAGTCTCTTCCCAAAAACCCATTATGTTGCTGGGAGAGATGCCAAGACCTTCTGGATACCTCTGTCTCACATGCCAGCAGTTTTGCAAGACTTCTTATTGTTGAAACAGAAAGTAGAGCTGGCTAATCCCAAGGCGGTGTGACCGGTGTGACTCAGCAAACAACAAATGCCTACCCCAGGCTATGAGATTGGCTGCTTTCAAGGGCATATCTCCTTTTTGGTCTCATTCCTTACTAATCCAACCCAGACTCATTTAGATCATTCAGATGTGCTTCTTTGATACACCAGGGAGTCCTACCCACACTGGGAATGTTCCAGGGTCCCTTCTTAAGCCTTCTTTGAGAAGAAGGGCAGCAATGACCTATCCCATAAAGGGCCATGATAGCACCTGCCCAATATTTAGGTTTTGTCTGCTTAATATGATGTAAGGGAAATTGAAAGCCTTTTCCACCCAACATGATCTCTGCCACTGCCAGCCCCATTGCCTCTAGCCCCCACACCTTGAACTCCAGAATGTTAATTATTTGTCCCGTATCAAAATGTTCAGAGAGAAGCAGAATACTTTCATGAGTGGGTTGGATGTCTTATTTGCTGAGAAGAAGACTCAGGAAGACTGGAACTCAGTTTTCTAACCTGTGGTGGGTCAGGGGAAGGAGGGGTGAGGAAGCATCATGTGACTCATACAAACTAAGGGGAACAGAGAAACACTAGGGAGGATTGCAAGTAGGAGGATAGGGGAGAAGCAGAAGGACAAGAAGACTGAAAAGAAGAAATAAGTGTGGAAGTGGAGGGAGGGAGAGTCCAAGACAAGCCTGCCTGTTCTAGAGGGAGCTGTGGAAGCTGAACAGCCGTTTCGAGGCGGCTGTGAACACGGATGCCCACACAGCTGTCTCTGGAAAGCTGGTAACAAAAGTAACCACTCGTTCCAAAGAAGAAAAACAGAAGGTATTCATGTAATTATGATGACTGTAAATATAACAAGACCCAGAATATCTACAACAGCTTAGACCCAAGATGGTTGGAAAGCCTGTATTTGAGGTGTCTCTGAAGCCCCATAAAGACATAGAGCTAAATTAAGACTCTAGCCTACAGTTACAGTCACAGCTGTAACTTGCTCTTTGCTCATATTCGTGGTCCTGATTGGACTGACCCTGACCCCACACCGCATCCAAAAACAAGTTCTCTACACGGTTGCTTCTCCAGATAGCAGCACCCAGTATCGCTCATGTAGGTTGGTTGACAATTCACATAAAAAGCCTGAAGTGTCAAAATTCAATATTTGTGGCTAAATTATATAGGGTGAAAGAGCCAGAAAAATTGCATCATGTACACACACAGACACACACACTTATTGTGAAGAAAATAATATCTGCTGCATGAAACCATACCCATTTGAAGAGATCAGTAATGCTATTCATTTTTATCCACCTTTCTGGAAACATCTGTTCATGAGGTAGTCTCCTCTTCTCACATTTACAATGTATTAATGATTTTGAAAAAACAAATTTTCAATGGTGTCAGTCCACCTGGACATATATGTCATTATGTTAAGGGAAAATACACTCATCCTTTTTGCATGAAAATGAAGGATTTCACAGCAGGAATCAGAAGAATTCTCAGGCAAAGTTATCTAAGCTATTGTCACTACCAACCCGGCAAGTCATCTCCATCTTGGTCGGGGTCCCATTGACAGCTCACCTTTAAGAGCTCTGATTTCTTCTTGTTGCCAGTAACCGCCCACGGGTTAGGGAACCCTCGCACAGCTTGTCCTTGGAGCTGAAGTTCATCAGTGTTGTTTACTGAGGCTCTTCCTTCTCACCTTGAATTCCCAGGTCCTGGCTTCATCACCCTGTTTTAAAAATGTCAGGCCCGCTGTCCCTGATCTTCCTGTCCTCCGCTGCTTTCAGGACTTTTAAAATTGGCAGGAACCTGCTTTGCTGGACGTCCAACCATTCCAGTTGTGTTGTGGGGTCTACCTAATGGTCTTATTTCCTTTGTTTCACCTGGACCTGAGTTCTTTGCTCATTTCTCCATGTAACTACAATTGGCAAATCCCTTTCATTCAATCCAAAAAGGGTTCTACTTAAATGAATGCTCCCAAATACGGTATCATCTCAAAACAAAATCAAATATACCCAAATTCACCCAAGCAACCTTGAAAGCTTTTAAAACTAAATGAGGAGATGACAGTATTTGGAATATAAAGGTATAGTCTCAACAAAAGCACAAGACCTGGAAGAAAGAGAAGGAGAGAGGAAGGGAGGGGCGTAAGAAGGTCATTGCACCAGGAGTCTGAGGTATGACTGCCTCGACTCTCTCCGTCTCACCATCACTTCTGATATTCTCTGTGCTCTTAGGAAAATAATATATTTTTTATCTATACTATTTGGGAGGACATATACTGGGCATTCTGCTAAGTCCTGGCCAGTAAGGAATGACATGGCCCCTTCCTTCATAGAGTTTATTATAATCCAAAAGCTGAGACTACTACTTGGGATGCCTTAGAGTAGCTTCTCCAGGAATCTGTGGTCAAGCTAAAGTGAGATGTTGTCTTTCTACCACCTCTCGTTTATGGGACCCTTTCCTCACTTAGTTTGGAGGCACAAGGAGAACCTCCCAGACTTTTCCTCTGATCTGACCTAAAAAATCCCACTACGTCCTCTGTAGCTCTATCTGGATATCCACAAGGTATTCACATCTGGAGTTCCTACCACTCTCACCCCGACCTTCCCTTTTCCAAGCAAGCACCAACTACTATCAATTTGATCTCATAAGGAGATACCTCGTCTACTACTTTTCTTCTCCAAGGGATCATCTGTTCAAGCTTTCATCATCCCTTATCTCAATGGCAGTATATTTACCCTTGTATTCTTTCTATGATTTCTCCTCACTGCAGCCAGAATTATTCAGAATTCAGATCTAATTATTCTACTCTTTTCCCCACCACCACTTTCTTAAACCCTTCAATGCATTTCCATTGTATTTTGGCTAAAGACGAAAATGCATTACATAAATGACGTTGCCCCAGCACTTCTCATTAGCCTCATTTGAGGCTCTTCTTCTCCTCAGCTAGCCCCCTCAGACCCTTTGCCCATTCTCTTGCTTAGGAAGTTTCCATTTTTCTTGTTTATCTAGTTTCCTCATCCTGTAGATCTCAGACCCTTCCTCAGGGAAGCCTGTATAGTTCCAAACTCTGACCACAGTCTTTGTATCCCAAATTAGTTTCTGTCTTGTACAGGACCCTTATCACAATCTGTCATTACATATTTGTGTAATTAATTTGTTACTATGGGTCTCCCCAACCAGACTTTAAGTTTCATGAAATCAGGATCCATGACCCTTCGCTTATCTTTGTATTCCCTTGCTTAGCACAGTGCTGGCACACAGACCACTGTTCAAAAATATTTATTGAATAAATTTAGAAATCAGCCTCTATGAGCCTTTCTGACTAGGGGGCAATCTATCACTTAAGATAGGGCTTGCCAATCTCATTGATTGTGCTATTAAAGAATCAGTTTGATTAAAATCCTATAAGTTCCTTAAGTCTTTGACTACTTCCTCAAGAGCTCCCTACCTCCTGTTTTTTCTGTATGCCTCCCTTTGGAAACTAGTCGCCAACAGTCTGTTGGTCCCAAGACACTGTGAAGGAACCTCTGTCCATGTTGAGCTATTCTGGGCTCAGTGGTCACAGAACAGGGAGCATCAGGAATCATTTCATTCACTTCTCTGCCTGTAGGATGATATGGCCAAGCCAGCCAGGCTAAAGAGAGCCACTTCAATTTAAAGTCTCTCTGGGGGTGCTTGGGTGTCTCAATTGGTTAAGTGTCTGACTCTTGATTTTGGCTCAGATCATCATCTCAGGGTTATGAGGTGGGGCTCTGTGCTGGGCATTGAGTCTGCTTATGATTCTCTCTCTGACCCTCCCCTCCTCTAAAAAAAAATAAAAAATAATAAAATAAAATATTATAATATACTAAATTAAATCTTTTCAGAAACCCATAACTTCTTTGGGCAACCCAGCCAATTTTTAATAAAGAAAATAGCCAGGAGCTTCTAAGAAAAATAATGAATTTTGGCTTTATTCTCTATTAATCCCAATAATTCTCAGGAATGTGAGAGATCAGAGTCCCATCAGGATGGAGGAAATAGTTAAACAGTCTCAAACTGGAAAGCTGTGTAATGTATAGAAATTATTTGTAACAATCTAAACTAAGCCACAGTTTATAAGGACTATGCTGGTCGACAATTTCATGGATTTTTGCTTGTTAAAAAATAAGACAATTCTGTTGATATTCATAATACTGACATTCTTCCTCAACCCTGTGACTCATTTTCAAAAAGAAAATATGAATAATTTCCATCCTACTATATTTATGAGGCACTAAAATAGTCAGGGCTCTGGTGCAGATTCTAGTTTAGCTGAATCTCGGAGCTCTTTTTGCACACAGCACCTGCCCGAGAAAGAACCAGATCACAGCTCTTGGCTGATTAGTCCCTAGAAATAAATAGCACTCTGGCCTGAAATGGGTCAGGCAAGGCAATGTAGCATTCTGTCACACTCTACAACCAGCAACTGCCCTGAACAGCTCCATTTCAGTCCCTTTTGAGAAACTGGACATGGAAAGGATTCCACTATAGATACATAGCATAAGACCTGGGCAAAAACCATTCAGTCCTATCCTGAGGCAGGGGTGGGGTTTGCTAATTACTCTCAGCCATCTGGGTCTTAGATATGGCAGCTGGAACTTGAGTACGATGCCACCCAATGAATGGTGGTGCCTGGGTTTGGAATCAGTAATCCAAGCAAACTAGCTTCCCACAGGTATAATAAGAAAATATTATTGATGGTTATTTAATACTTAGTATGTGTTAGGTTATTAATGCATTTGGATATAGCACAAATAATTTCATCTAACCCTAACCATATCTCAGGTACGTTTTGTTGTTGTTACTCTTGTTTCATTTATTTGTTTTTAATATGGTAAGAACATTTAATATGGGATCCATTCTCTTAAGTGAAGTGTACAACACAGGATTGTAAGTGTATTCACAAAGTTGTTCAGCAGGTCTCTAGAACCTAGTCATTTGGCATAAATGAAATTTTGTACTGGTTGAACAGCAATTCCCCATTTCCCCTGCCCTCAGTCCCTAGAAACCACCATTCTACTCTCTGCTTCTATGAGTTTGAATATTTTATATACTTCATGTAAATGGAATCATACAGTATTTGTCCTTCTGTGACTGGCTTACTTGACTTAGCATACTGTCCCCCAGGTTCT